GGGTTTTTTTCAAAAAAAAAAAAAAAAAAAAAAAAAAAAAAAGAGTCTTGTTATATGACCAAGTCAAATTATCCTTCTGTCATTGCTACCTTTTACAACCACCCTGGTTATTAGAAGCCCTTCCCTTTTATCAGCAGGTCCATTCAATTGACAATCCAACTGCCACAGGTTTTTCAAACTTTCTCTTCCATCTGCAGCCGAGCTCGCAGACTCCCTACTTCTCCCACACCCCTACCCAACCCATATATATTAAACCTGCATAATATGTGGCATCCACAGCCAGCCATAACTGCCTCTTAAAAATCCCCACAACCTGGCTCGGCTGCAGCTGGGTCCAGGGGTCCAGGGGTCCAGCGCTGGCCCGGTTTTCCAGGAGGTAGTTGTGTGATTTAAACTTTAAACTTTAAACCGGCAGTTCACCTGAAGCAAAGCAGGGCTCTTACCGGTTTACGCAGTAAGATCTTTTTTATTTGGGCAAGGCCCAGTAGTGAACACAAAAGGCCACTATGGAAAAAAAGCCTACTCAGAGGCTCGCAACCCTTGGAAGGTAGCTTAGTCAACTTAGACTCGTGTGAAGTTCCACAGTATTCCATTTTTCAAAGTTTAAAGTCAACTACAATAATGATTGAATGTGGTGGTTTAAAGTTTAAACTGTAAACTTTAAATTTTAAAAGTCAAAGACAACTACAACAAAATTTGCATGTATTAACGGCTAGCACTAGGATGTGGGCATCTGCAAACCACTGGTAATTTTTCCACATGATGAATGAATTGAACCAGCCACGGGGGACCTTCGGGACATCCATTAAAATTGGAACGATAACAGCCCCTGCGCAAGGATGACACACATAAATCAAGAAATGGTCCCACAAAAAAAAAGAGAAAAAAAAGAGTACCAGGCTACCAGCCACAGGCAGGCTGGAACCATCCAAACTGCACCCTCAGCGAGCAACGGCAGTTGGTACACCTGCAGCGTACTGGTGGTTCAAACTTCTCTTTCACAAATGATAATGTCCATATGTCCATACTACTCCATAGACTCCATACATCATGCAATAAGATTGAAAAAATGGAATACTGTGGAATAATTCATTAATGTGAATGATCATAAACAACGGAACGGGAGTGTGAAAACAATCGTCATGTCCTGCAACTCTGGAGCATTGTAATGGGGTCCATAGCAGTGGGACTAGGCCACCCCCCTTGCCCAAATGTACTGGAAAACAGGTTTTACTGTTTTACAAACATTGGATGAATTTGTAGTAGCATTACAACAGAGCCTTCTGGGCTGAATAGAATACTCCTTTGTTAAAATAAGGGGGTAGAAAAAAAACTACTGTAGTAGCGTTACAGCAAAGACTGCTACTAGTGGTAATATTAGACATGCACTCACCGTGTATCTGGTCACCTCTTTGCCAAAGCCACTGCGATCGGGTCGAGAACGCCCAATTGTATGTGCGCCTGACAGGGCCACAATGTCCTGTTCACGAGCTCAAAGCAGATGTTATTTCCCATTTTAGTATCTTCATCTTGTAATACGTCAAAATAATGCAAGATGATGCAACTTAAGCCACCACTACCTTTCATAGGCAAACTTGAAACAAAAATATACCATAGCCTGCATTCTTTGGAGGTCGCACACGACCGGACCAAAATGGCTGGCGGCACCAGCCCCGAAAAAAAAAAACAAAAAAAAAAAGTTGCACTGGTGGTTCAGCAAAGCTTGCCGTGTAGTTCTTTGCAACCTCGGCAAAAAAGAGGCTGAGACGTAGTGATGGTTTAATACAGTTAAGCCTGCAACAAAGGGAAAAAAGCTCAGAAAACATTAAAATAGTAAAAAACTAGGTTGTTTTTCCGGGCGCCCGGGCACCCAACTTGTGCCCGGATACATGCCCGGGTGCCCGGCCGGGCATGACCCCCGGGCAGGGTTTCGGGCAGCCCCAGCGCTATAAAAAAAAAAAACGAAAGTAAAAAAATTCCAGAAAAAAAAAAAAATGTTGTGTAGAACTGCAATACAAACAACTTTTGCCTCAGGGTCACATCAGAATTCCTCACCGAATCGTAGATAAAAAAGAAAATAACAAAATCACACTAAGGAACCCCCCTTTAAACCCCCTTAGCCCCTTTAAAAACAATTTATACCCCTCGTCCCCACCCTTGACAGCCAACCCTCAAAAAATGAAAAGAGCCTGGATTTGGGGTCCTCTGGGAGAGCGCAGAAAGGCCTTTTTTTTTTTTTTTTTTTTTTTTTGTGCAAGCCTGCCTGGGCGTCGCGCCCGGGTGCCCGGCCGGGCATGAAAACCGTCCTAGGTAAAAAAAATATATGTATATATATTTTCCCTTGCATGGGCGCCTCCCAAGTCCTAAGCATACAGCTGGCAAGACCAAGGTGTCCAAAATGATTTCGGTTTGTGAAAGGCTGCACAGGTGTTGCAGAAGATGGACGGTATTACTTTTCTGTACCAATCTCAACTTGCAATCCTAACCACACGATACACATTGTCTACCGCGAGGGCGCAGGGAACGCAGCCCTAAGGTAGCCAAAGCAATGAGACTAGCGCACACAAGAGAGAGAGAGAGAGAGAGAGAGAGAGAGAGAGAGAGAGAGAGAGAGAGAGAGGCCGAATGGCAATATTGAAATATGGGTCAAATTGCAGCCGCGATCTATTTCACAGTTGGAATGATTTTTTTTAATTTATTGAGCGTTTTTCCTGGAAAGATCACAACAAAATTTACAAGTACTCCAATTTTCTGGTTTTTTCACGCATTCTTCTGAGTGCAAAAACTCACTGAATTTGGAGTACTTTTTCAGTTGGCCTACACATGGAGGAGTGGCAAAAATGGAAAATGTGCTGAATCGGTTCGACGAGTATTTCGCAGTCTAAATGATTTTTTGAAAATGTTCTAACATTTTTCCTGGAAAGAACACGCCCTCATCTATGGATTCTCAAAATTTCAGATTTTTCTGCGGGTTCCTCCGAGCAAAGAAAATCGCCAAAGTTGCCTCTTGCAAAACGCTTGTTTCATTGCGCCTGACCTCCCTGTTTTAAGAAGACGGGCCTCAACGCCTGCGCCCGATGGCCCTTTTGCAGTTCACATGCCCTCACTTATTTTTGGGGTGCAGTTCCACCCGAGGACCGGTCCTTCCGTTTTCCAAAAGTCCTGGTTCTACCAGAGCTAGCTGTCGGTAGTCTGCAATTTTGCCAAGGACCAGTCCCCCAAATTGTTTTGCCCCCTAAGAACCCACTTTGCATCCTGGTCGCCCGCCGCCAAAAATGCGACACCATGACACAAACGCCAAAGCCTACTATACCGCAACCTTAGGGCTGCAAACACTCATTGTCTACCGTGTGGGCGCAGGGAACGCAGCCCTAAGGTAGCCAAAGCAATGAGACTAAGAGCGCACACAAGAGAGAGAGAGAGAGAGAGAGAGAGAGAGAGAGAGAGAGAGAGAGAGAGAGTATTGTTCCATTTGTTGATATGAATGAGAGAGAGAGAGACAGGGAGAAAGAGAGAAAGAAAAAGAGATAGAGAGAGGGAAGGGGGGGGGCTACCACAGAGAGAGAGAGAGAGAGAGAGAGAGAGAGAGAGAGAGAGAGAGAGAGAGAGAGAGAGAGAGAGAGAGAGAGAGATGCTGAATGCAAAATTGAAACATGGGTCAAATTGCAGCCGCAATCTATTTCACAATTGGAATGATTTCTCAAAATTTAATGAGCATTTTTCCTGGAAATATCACAACAAAATCTACGAGTACTCCAATTTCCAGGTTTTTTCACGCGTTCTTCTGAGCACGAAAACTCGCCGAATTTGGAGTACTTTTTAGTTGTATGTCAACAAGGACAGCTGATGGAGTTAACAAGTACCCACGCACAGAGTCATTTAGTAAGCAACAACAAGTGAACCAAGCCAAGACCATAGGTAGAAGAGAGAAGAAGAAGAAGGAAGAAGAAGAAGGAGATAGKAGYGAAGTAGACACTAGAGTTCCCGAACGCGACTTGAATTGAAGATAAACATGAAGCACATAAACGAAAGACAAGCTTCCGTTAGGCGGTAGTGACCCGGCCGGTTTCGCCTGGCCGCCTGCCAGGACTCATCAAGGGTCATAAGTCGGTTTGATGAACTCTAATTGAACTACTGTATTAATACTAACATCTACACTGACCACTACGTTCATCAATACCATGCTTGCTTTACCGACAATGTCGCATCAACCCGTCACCAAAAAAGTCGCAGTATTAAGGTGCCATACATCCTAAACCAACCAAACATCAGTTAACCGACTACCAATCCTTCAGTACACAGATCAAACCTCACCACCGCATATCCCAACTTCATCTCAACACCCGTACCGTAAGTCACACCGATTCACTAGTCCGCGGATCCAGCCTTACTCGACAAAAATCACTACTGGACAACACCCTATATAGATCTTGCCGATAAAGGGAAAAGAATACACAGATACTCAGATCGAACCGCTGCGCCGCACCTCCGTTCCAAAAGACTTCCCAGAGTCCACGAAGCTAACTACTATAGGTCATAGGATCGAACCATCAAAAGACCCATTCCAGTTACCCCAGTTTCAAAGAATACACCGATACTCAGATCGAACCGCTGTACCGCACACAGCCCCAAAAAACTTTCCAGAATCCACAAGCTATCTACTATAGGTCATGGGCTCGAACCATCAAGGACCATCCCAGTTACCAATGCACCCAAAATCTACGACGAAATCAAATCCTACATACCCCCTATCCCATCGACCCATCCCGAGCAACTAACAATCAGAAAACCGCACAGTGTCCCTAAAACGGGCATCAAGACCCCAATTTTACTTCAGAACAGGCGGCCCCATCTCGTGAGCACCGGAACCCACTCCTTCCATAAGCCGCCAAACTTCCTTGAGTTATCAAAAAATTCGTTCGGATAGCCTCGCTTCCATAACTCATTCTTAAGGGTAAACAAAAAAGGAAAAACCAGTCCCTCAACCGACAAATAGGCCTTCGCTCTATGGAGAAAGGATGAAATGACAGCAATCTTTTGCTGCTTACTGGTAAACGAAACATAATCCTGGATATTCTGAAATTTAACTCTGGCATTAACCTCCTCCTTTTGGTTCTTCATGAGCAGAAAACAAAGCACACCCGTACTCCCCTCAAAGACTTTCAACATGCAACCTAAGAAATCCCAACTACATCCATCATTGGTCTTTTCTAACATCAGATTCGAATCGTAACACAAACGAAATCTATCAATAATACCACAACCTTTCTCCCATGAACCGTCATCATTCCGCTTGCAACGTACAAACAAGGACACGTCGTCAATTAATCTAACCCCTCTCACCAGTCTGCGATCCGAACCCAAGCTGTTAAGAAACACGAACTCATTAAAGGCACACAAGAGACAAGCCAACGCTGGGCTTGATGGTTTGCCCATCAGAATCCCCACTTCTTGCTTCAACAACCTCTCAGATGCCATAACAAATGTATTATCCAACTCGAAACCCACAAACTCAGCAATCATTCAGAGCGAGATACGCCGCCAACCCAATTCCAACCTACCTTTACACAGTTTAACACCCTTTCCTACTCTTGGCACATCCACAGCCTCCACTCCATGCTTTTGCCAGTAACCAATAACCCACTCGATTGCTTGACGAATCGAATGGTGGGGCAAATTGGAGAACATCTCCTTAATGTCGAAGGAGGCCCCCATAATTACATCATCCTCGGTCAAACCCCCATTGACTTCCTTCAAGCGGCTGAGCAGACCATCCACACTTTTTAGATTGAAGTGACACCGAGCAGGTATGTTCCATAGAAGCGCATTAACTGAACGCGAGACAACCCTTCCTCCAATAACCGAAGGTTCAGGATACGATGGACAAATGGGTCGCCATCTAGTAGTATCCTCATGTTTAGGAATACAATACGCTTCTCCAAATCTTCCATCCTTCTTCCATCGACCAACCTGCGCCAACCCCTTGTTCGCGTATATCTCCTCACAATGCTTCAAAACATCACCAACCTCACTCTCATGTACGCGAAATGATGGGTTACCAACGAACAGCTTCCTCATTCCTTCATTGTAGAACGTAGGGCAACAGACAAAGGTGTCTCCGGGGTTATGGTCAATAGGACTTCTTACTAACCCTTGAAAACGAGACAAAAACCGGACTACTTCATCCTCACAACCGAATTCCACATTCTTACCACCATCAAAACCGGTCAAGAAACACTCCCGAAAAGAATCGTCACACAGAGAACCCATATCCAAAGGTGGCAACGAAGAGTGAGAAGCGAATGAAGACACGATCTGAGAACGCAGAGACCGAACAGAGCATACCTTGGAAGGTTTGACAATATTCCTAGAGTTAAGCATCCATGAGGGGACCAACTGGGGAACATCATTCAGTCTAAACGCCACGTGTTGTCCTGCCCGTGGGAGTGCCGCGTCACAACCCTGACACAAACACTGCACCTCCCTTGTCTTCGCATGCTTATGGAAGTTATATAATAGGTCACCTACGCTGTGATTGCGGCACCACACAATCCTCATTCTGCGAACTAACATCCCCTTCCAGCATTGATCAATCTCCAATCCAGCAACAATTCTGGCGCACAGCTGTCGAACACGGGCCTTACAAATTCCATCATCAAACTTGACACGAATAACAATCCTCTGCCTGACGTGCACCCCAAAACGAGCTAGGATGTGATGTGACAGCAAACAACGTATCCTGAATCTCGACCTCTTTTCACTAAACGTCCTTATGGCCGTATAAGCCGCAATCAATGTTTCAAAATCCCACAACCGCAGCTCAGTCCTTGCAGCAGGTTCCTTCAAAAGTTTGACCAGCGGCGCCTTCAGGACCAGAGAACGACACAAGAAGGGGATAATCGGATCAATCACCAACGTGACGTCCCCTTTCAGCCAAGCACGGGCATACCGTAACCCCTTTTTTCCAAACTGCGATTCAACCAAACTCCCACCATACAGACGCCTAAGAACCTTCCATTGGTCAGCGATCCTCATTCCCCCAGAACAATGAACAACAACACTTAACCTCCCTCTCTCCTTACAATCATTAAGAATCTTCAACAGGCTGACAGAGACGACACCGTGGCTAGAACGAAATTCACACAGAGAGCCTGCGTAATCACACCCAACCTTAGCAACCACCCCCGATCTCTTCTTCTTCCTTAATCTCTCCTTAAGACCTGCTCGACACCTCTTCGAGCGCTTCGGTTTATCCCGAACATTTAACGCAGGGCAAAATAAACGAATAAAAAACCTTTCAGTTTGCAATAGTTCTTCAGACGAGCATCTACACAACGGAATAACCGCATAGGAGTGAGCATCAGCACGCCGCAACCATCTATAGAGCTTCTCATTTCTCCTCCCTCCTTCTATAACCTTCTTCTGACACGCCCTGTAAACGTGTTCCCGCCATCGACAATAACCATCACGCTGAGTGCTACCTATGTAGACGTGCCGGTACCACGGAGACACAAGAGCGTACACCACCGGACCTTGCCATTCATCCAAATTCTCACGTTGACAGTGGACCAGCAGGGGTAAAAAGAAGCTAATTAACTTAAGTCCCCACGGAATCGCTCCTACGAGAATCAAGCCACAGACCGCAAAGCTCAGCAACGCGTTAACCTTCTTGCACCGCAATAACTCTGAAGACGACGACCGTAATTGACAACAAAAATTAACGACTCGCCATAGCAAAGCCGCGTTCCGGTGTGACCCTAAGAAGTAGATGAGTCACACCCGTCGTGCTTACCTGAGTCCTCCCCTTTGTCACTCGTCAGTTCGACCACAGAATCGTCTTTAAGATTCGTATCCCGCTCATCTTATTCGAAAGCCCTGTCTGCTCGCGACTGGGCAATGGCTTCCTTAGTTTCTTCCAATTTCGTGTACTCAATTCCCTCCTTTTCACATATCTTCATAACGGCATCCTTCTTGAAGTTCCTTAGGTCCTTCCTAGTGTCACGGAGAAAGGCTTCCCGCCGGCTCAGCAAAATCACTGGAGTAACCACTCCCTTCATCTTCTCTTTCCTAGCAGAGGGCAAAGCCGTGTCGTCCAGCTTAGTTTTAAGATTAGTGCCTCCCGTCTTCCTTCCGGTTCCCAATCCTGCCATAGCTTCTTTCAGCCTTTCAACCTTTGCCTCAGATTCCTTGCGAGCGTTGACCTCCTTAAGCCTCATCTCTTTGAGCAACTTTACTTCTCTCTGGTGACACTCCACGATGTCCTTGAGTTGACCGTTGACCCTTCCCACTGTACACGGAGTTGCGTTCGGCACTACCCGAGCACGAACTCTTGCTTCAATCATGGGAGACTGCCCGATGGCCACGCTACCTCGCTTGTTACCAGGCCTCATGGCCTCGTTCCGCCAGACCTCCGCGTTTGCCTCCGCCTCATCACACTGTTTCTGCAAAGCAAAAATGACTTCCTGCAAGGTAGCAAGTCGCTTATCCATATTGGCTTTCACCTCAACCTGTTCTCTACGTAGCCGTGCAATCTCCTCAGCTTCACTCAGCGGTCTTGAGATCGTAGCCGAGGTGCTGGCTCCATCTTGCGCACGTTTCAACGCATCAACCTGACACTTCAACACCGCTACTTCAGACTGCCCGACACTTCTTATGATTCCATTGTCCGTGGTGGCTTGCTGCTTGCAGAGCAACTCCATCTGCGTACTCAGCTTAGCCAGCTCTTCTGCGTCCTTCGCCTTCTTGCCGTCAATCGCCTCCCGTACCACATCGAGTTTCTCCGCCATCTCCTAATGCATCAAGGCTTGCAGTTCTTTGCGCACATCGAGTTTCTCGGCCATCTCCTTGTGCATCAAGGCTTGCAGTTCTTCGCGATCCTTTTTCTCCTTACTTCTCCGCTCTTCTTCTTCCTGTTCCTTCTTCTTACGGTCTTCTTCTTCCTTCTTCACCCGTTCCCTCGCTTCGTCTGCTTCATGTTTACTGTTAATCTTCACCACCAACTCCTCTAACGTACTAACACGCCGTCCCAACCCACCGCCACCCCCTCCATTGGCATAATAGCCAGAGTAATAAGGTGCTGCCGTCCCCATATTGGGATTGGCCGCCGTGGCTGGAGGTCCTGTAAGCAGTGGCTGTGCAGGCACTATCGCCGTGCCCACAGCAGGTTGACCACCGTTCAGTCTTCGGTCAGGCAGAGGACAGAACCTTGAGATATGCCCAGGTTGGCCGCAGTTGTAGCACACCCGTACGCCCGGAGCTGAGTTACCGTTAGACGCCATCGTTGTCTTAGTCGAAGCCACACGACTATAGTATCACTTCTATGTCGGTTACTCCGCGTGAGAAAGTATGTCAACAAGGACACAGCTGATGGAGTTAACAAGTACCCACGCACAGAGTCATTTAGTAAGCAACAACCAGTGAACCAAGCCAAGACCACAGGTAGAAGAGAGAAGAAGAAGAAGAAGAAGAAGAAGAAGAAGAAGGAAGAAGAAGAAGGAGATAGTAGCGAAGTAGACACTAGAGTTCCCGAACGCGACTTGAATTGAAGATAAACATGAAGCACATAAACGAAAGACAAGCTTCCGTTAGGCGGTAGTGACCC